GGGGAAACCACCCCCATGATCCAGTCACCTCTCACCAGGTTCCTCCCTCAACACATGGGGATTACAATTCTAGATGAGATTTGGGTGGGGACACAAAGCCAAATCATATCAGAGTTACAAAACTTCTAACTAAATTTTTAGTAAAAGCCTACGCTTGTAATCCCAGCTACTCCAGAGGCTGAGGCAGGAGAATCACTTGAACCTGGGAGGTGGAGGTTGCAGTGAGCCAAGATTGCCCCACTGCACTCCTGCTTGGGTGGCAGAGTTGAGACTCTATCTCAAAATAAATAAATAAATAAATAAAGGAACAAATTCCAGAATGTGAAACCAATTGGCTACAAATTAGAAACACAGTGCCACAAGATTATTTCTTTTTTTTTTTTTTTTTTGAGACGGAGTTTCGCTCTTGTTACCCAGGCTGGAGTGCAATGGCGCGATCTCGGCTCACCGCAACCTCCGCCTCCTGGGTTCAGGCAATTCTCCTGCCTCAGCCTCCTGAGTAGCTGGGATTACAGGCACGTGCCACCATGCCCAGCTAATTTTTTGTATTTTTAGTAGAGACGGGGTTTCACCATGTTGACCAGGATGGTCTCGATCTCTCGACCTTGTGATCCACCGCCACAAGATTATTAAAGTGATCGGAGCTTCTGATAAAAAAATACAGAATGAAAAACAATTGAAACTCTAAAAAGCAAACAAAAACCAGAAGTCTAGGGATTATCTCATTTTCCCTTTTCAAGAAGACTATTGAGTGTATTTTTAAAGTTTGTTTTAAACTCTTGCAGTGGAATGACATTTAGAAGTAACTCCTTTGTCATCTGTCCACAAGAATTCACATCTACCCTTCTTGTTCTTACACCAGTCAGGTATCAAAGAAACCTTTCCATACAGACTGCCCACAAGATGGCATAGTTATAACAGGAAAATGGAGAGAAAGAAATGACATTCCACAGCTTTTGAGTTTCTAGTAGATTCAGAGGAAAGGTTCTGATCTTTACCAGTGCACCTTTTTATCAGAGTAATTTCTTCAGTTCTATATTTCTGTTCACTTTCATCTGTGTTTAAATAGTTCTTTAACCTATTCACTGAGGTATTTTTTAAATAACTACGCTTTCATTTCTCAAAGTTCTATTAGGTTCCGTGGCAAACCTGCCTAATAATTTTTATAGTTTATTGTTGTTTTCTCTTTTTGTGATTTCATCTTTCTTTTTTTCTTTATATTTTTGAGACAAAGTATTGCTCTGTTGCCTGGGCTGGAGTGCAGCAGTGTGATCTTGGCTCACTGCAACCTAGGTCTCCCGGATTCAAGCGATTCTTCTGTCTCAGCCCCGCGAAATAGCTGGGATTACATGCACAGGCCACCACCTCTGGCTAATTTTTGTATATTTATTAAAGTCAGGGTTTTGTCATGTTGGCCAGGCTGGTCTTGAACTCCTGACCTCAGGTGATCCACTCGCCTCAGCCTCCCAAAGTGCTGGGATTACAGGCGAGAGCCACAGCATCCAGCCTCATCTTTTATTTCTTTGAATATCTCATACTTTATCTGTTTATATTGTATATTTGATTATCATGGTTTAATATCTGTTTATATTATGTATTTGATTATCATACTTTATCTGTTTATATTGTGTATTTTATTATCATACTTTATCTGTTTATATTGTGTATTTTATTATTATACTTTATCTGTTTACATTGTGTATTTGATTATCTTAAATCCCTGAAGGTTTAAATCTTATTTATTGTTTCTGTTGACAGTCACCCTTGGTCCTTTCTTTCCTTGTGTATTTGGTACAGGATCTACTTTTTTTGAAGGAGGAATGTCCTTTAGCATTTCTTGTTTGCCATGTTGCATGAAGAAATCAGAACTGGAGCTTCCCAACTTATGTGTCATGAATGCGTCATTGGCATGCTAAGACACCCTTTCTGCTGGCTAGTCATCACTAGTTAAGAACTACTTTCTCTATTTATCTTAATGTGCTAGGCGCAAGGAAATAAATCCAATGGGATATTTGGATCAGAGGGTTGGAAATTATTTCAAATCATTAAGGAATAATCTTGCTTCTTGCTGGGCACAGTGGCTCAAGCCTCTAATCCCAGCACTTTGGGAGGCCGAGGCGGGTGGATCACGAGGTCAAGAGATCGAGACCATCCTGGCCAACATGGTGAAACCCCATCTCTACTAAAAATACAAAACATTAGCTGGGCATGGTGGCGCGTGCCTGTAATCCCAGCTACTCAGGAGGCTGAGGCAGGAGAATTGCCTCAACCCAGGAGGCGGAGATTGTGGTGAGCCAAGATCGTGCCATTACACTCCAGCCTGGGTAACAAGAGTGAAACTCCGTCTCAAAAAAAAAAAAAAAAAAAAATCTTGCTTCTTAAAAGAAGTAGAGTAGATTAAGGCATCTGATGATTAGTTGACACTGCGAATTATCTTCAATTAAAATTTAATCCCAGATTGTTACCTTTATGTAGCATCCTGAAGGGCCATCAAGTAATCATATTAAATTTAATATTATGATAACTATTATTATGAACCCAAATAACTGTATACAAAAAACCAGAGCCTGATAAATATTAAATTCTGAACTACTTATATAATCCAATACTTTATTCTGCTCTTTAGTCATCAACTAAGAGAAGAGAATGGAGGCTGTGTGTTGTAGTGAAGAGCATCAGTTGGTGTCATAAGATGTGAGTACTAATCCTGACTGAATTGCTCTTTACCCATATAACTTCAGGTAAAACTTGTTTTCAGTATGTTTTCCAACTGTGGGGAACAAATGAACAGCAATGCAACTGACTTCTGTGGATGTTTTCTCGAGTGGGACAAGGACTAAGTGTAGAGACTGGCAGGCTCTGCTTCCCATTTTGCATTTGAGTATGTGCTTAAGATACAAGCACTTTTTGAGTTAAATGGCAATCTAAATACTTCATTTGAGCTTGTTTTCAAAGTAACCTTTTAAATTTATTTTTTAGGAAGGATGTTGTACTTCATTATTCAACTTTATTTGAACATGGAAAAATACTTTTAAAAACATGGAACATAGAAAAGTATTAAAAACTTAATTTTAATATATTCTTTATCATGTTAAGAAAACCTAGATTTCTAGAATCTAATTTACAGTCATAACTAATATGAAATATTGACCATCTGTAAATATGTCAACTTTCCCCAAATTAATCTCTAAAATAAATGTAATTGCTATTAAATTCATTAAAAGGAGGCACATGGATGTTCTCACTCGTAAGTGGGTGTTAAATAATGAGAACACATGGACACGAGGAGGAGAACATCACACACTGGGGTCTGTCGGGGAGTGGGGGGCTAGGGGAGGGATAGCAGGGGGTGGAGCAATAGGGGAGGGATAGCATTAGGAGAAATACCTAAGGTAGATGATGGGGTGATGGCTGCAACAAACCATCATGGCATGTGCATACCTATGCAACAAACTTGCACGTTCTGCATATGTACCCCAGAACTTAAAGTATAATAAAAATAAATAAATAAATAAAAGGAGGTACTATAACAGTCTGGCTTTAGAGGTTAAAAATCTAAGGCACAACTAGGAATAGAAAGGAACTCTCTCAACATAATAAAGGCTATTTATGAAAACCCTACAACTAACATCATGCTAAATGGTAAAAGACTAAAACCTTTTCCTTTAAAATCAGGCACAAGACAAGGATGCCCATTCTTACCACTTTTATTCTACTTGGTACTAGAAATCCTAGCCAGAGTAATTAGGCAAGAAGAAAGAAATTGACATGACTTTATATACAGAAAATCCTAAAGATTCTACAAAAACCTGTTAGAATGAATAAACAAATTCAGCAAAGTTGCAAGATGTAAAATCAACACACAAAAATCAGTTGCATTTCTATATACAAACAATGACTAATCCAAAAAGGAAATTAAGTAAACAATTATGGCCAGGCACAGTGACTCATGTCTGTAATCCCAGCACTTTGGGAGGCCAAGGCAGGCAGATCACTTGAGGCCAGGAGTTCGAGACCAGCCTGGCCAACAGAGTGAAACCCTGTCTCTACTAAAAATACAAAAAATTAGCCAGGCATGGTGGTGTGCACCTGTAATCCCAGCTACTTGGGAGGCTGAGGCATGAGAAAAGCTTGAACCTGGGAAGTAGATGTTGCAGTGAGCTGAGATCATGCCACTGCACTCCATCCTGGGTGACAGAGTGAGACTGTCTCAAAAACAGAAACAATTAAAAAGAATAAAATACTTAGGAATACACTTAACCAAAAGGCAAAAGTCTTATACACTCAAAACTACAAAACATTTTTGAAAAAAATTTAAGACATAAATGTTAAGACATCTGTGCTTGTGGATTGAAAAGACGTGGTGTTGTGTGTGTGGTTCTTTTTACAGTTGGGGTCTAGTTCGGTTGCCCACCCTAGAGTGTAGTAGCATGACCCCAGTTCACTGTAGCCTCTAACTCCTGGGCTCAAGCAATCCTTTCAAGAAGCTAGGATTGCAGGCGTGCACTGTTGGGCCCAGCTAAATTTTTTTAAATTAATTTTGTTATGTAGTAGATGTTGGTTCTCCACCCAGAGCCCTTGGATCCTTTTTTCACTTGTTTTGGTTATTTTCCCTAGAGCCTGCTTTGCTCAAACAGAGACCCTTAGAAGTACCTGTAAATTTATGATCCCTGGGATGTCCCTGATCCCATGACTGATACATGTGAGAGTATGAAGACTCTAGCTCCCTCGTCTGAGACAAGAGACAATTCTGAGGCATAAATTTCATGCTAGAGCTCCTTTGTATGATTCAGCTAAAGCTACGCTTTGGTGGACTTTGAGAGTTCAGCCTTGGTTGACTTCTTCAACGTCCCTGTCCTGTTTCTCCCACCCCCTTGCTAGTTTCCTCTGGGAGCACTTCTTTAATAATCACTTGAACACAAATCATGGTCTCAAGATCTGCAACTGGGAACCTGACTTAACAACATCTAAGGAGAAATGGAAAATTAGTATGAATTTACCTTTTATAATTGATGTTGAGATTGGCAGTCATGGCAACTCCCCCAAAGATCATCACACACGTAGCAAGAGTAGCATCAACCATGGTTGCAAGGGCGCCTCCATGAAGGAATCTAGTTACAACAGGAGTGGAGGAGAAATGATTTCAGAAGTTCTGAAGATAGAGAGCCTCTCGAAAAAGAAAAATTATCCAAGCATCTTCACACAATATACTTATCAAAGTTCCACTTAACCCATGCTCATTGTACTGAATGACAAATACTATCTATGTCCCCAACTTTATTTTGTTCATAGCATAATCATATAAAGTATTTGTAATAAAACCAGAACTTAACAGTAACCAGATCACAAGCAAGCAAAAAGCTAAAATATAATTTAGAAAATTTGTATTATGTTTTTATTATTAATCAGGTATGGTGTCATGTGCCTGCAGTCCTGGGAGGCTGGGGTGGGAGGATCACTTGAGCCCAGGAGTTTGAGGCTGCAGTGAGCTACGATCATTGCCTTGAACTTCAGCCTGGGCAACAGAACAAGACCTTGTCTCACAAAACAAAACAAACTATACATATTCATTGTTTAGAAATTTAGGTAATGGAAATAAGAAAAAAGAAAAAAGAACAAAAATTTAAGACCATAATATTACCCACCTAGTCAGTGACAAGCCACTGTTAACACATTAATAATATGCTCTCAAATTATACTCTATTGCCCTGTGTCCTATAATATTATACATCTTCTTTGATATATTAAATATTTAATCACACAGCAGTATAAACATCTTTCCATGTCAATAAATATAGATCTACATGACCATTTAAAAATCTTCACTGTAGTCCATGAACAGGACACATGGGGGCACTGTAAGATAAAAATCTTTTAGATCCACACTTTTAGACTATCATTCTTACCCAGGTGCTCCTTCCAGGTAAGGGCCTCCTTGAAACAAGCAAACCACCCTTTTCTCAACCTCATTGTAGAACATTACGTATTCAAAGCCTAGGCCTTCATCAAAGCTTCTGGTGAAGAGCTGGGTCTGTGACATTTGTTCTTCTTTCATGTGCTCTGGGTCTATAGAAAATGAGGTGGATGGCAAATCAGAAACAAAGGTAAGAGAAACGCCATGGCAGAGGCAAGCACCTGGACCCTGTTAGAACCACCTGTCAATGAATGATGGACTAAAATATCCACAGGGTGCAAAATTGAAAGGAATGGGAGGGTCTCAACAAAACAGAATACAGGATCTTTGCCCCTGTGAAATCAACAGTCCAACTGGGGATAGAGTACACAGATATGAAATCAAAACAAAGTACCCACACATGGCAATCAGGAATATAGGATACAAATGCTAACAACATACTGAAAAAGATGGTATAGACAGAAATCATTCTTGGAAGAACTGTGGTTTAAATGCAGTTTACAGAAAATAAAAAATGTAACAGAAAGGAGGTTTCCTTGGCAGACGTGAGTTTAGCCTATCAGTTATAGTGAATCAGCAATGGGTCGGTTCAGCCCAATACTCATGTGACTGTGACTCTAAGCCCCGCAAACTGGCAGCTAGAACCATTGGGGTTCATGAAATAAGACTTCGGGTTGTAACCAGCATTTTTTTTTTTTTTTTTTTTTTTTTTTCAGATGGAGTTTTGCTCTTGTTGCCCAGGCTGAAGTACAATGGCACAATCTTGGCCCACTGCAACCTCCACCTCCCAGGTTCAAGCAATTCTCCTGCCTCAGCCTCCCAAGTAGCTGGGATTACAGGCATGCACTACCACACCTGGCTAATTTTGTATTTTTAGTGGAGACGGGGTTTCTCCGTATCGGTCAGACTGATCTCAAACTACTGACCTCAGGTAATCCTCCTGCCTTGGCCTCCCAAAGTGCTGGGATTACAGTCGTGAGCCACCACCCCCGGCCAGTAACCAGGCTTTAAAAAAAACAGAACACTTACATAGCAGAACCATATATTCTGGGTGAGTACTAGTGTACTTGTTCAGATACAGTTTTTTTCCGCTTATACAATTGTGAGCAAGCTGGAGGAACTGGACTGAGTCAAAATAAAGGTCACTCCAAAAGACTGAAAGCTATTGCTCTCAAGGAATGGTCCATTTATCCTTTCACATCTACTTTAAAATTTAATCTCCCATACTCACCTTTCTTTCATAGCTCATCAAGATTTGCCATATATAAAACTAGTTTCTTTCATTTGTATTGAGTTTACAGTTACGAACTTGGAAAAGGATACAGATGAGAAGATCCAGAAGTAGGGAGGGGGACAGGAAGGATGAATTTTACTGAGGTCATGAGCATCCTGGGGCAGGCACCCTGTCTTTCAGACTTTGTATACCCAACAAATGGCGCAGATGTGCACATACTATATACACTTAAGCAGTTGTTGAGTGAATTGATGGTTTAGAAGGCCATCAATTGGGGATCAGTATTATGGTATTGTGGAAAGAATCTTGGTCTGCGAGTTGGGAAAATTAAATTCTTGGCCTTCCTCTGGCCTATAACTCATTCTTTTGCCCCACACTTTATCCTTACAATGAGGAGATAAAACAAAATGAGCTCTAAGATCTCTTCCAACTCTGACATTCCAGGACTTCAGGATAAGATAGGTATCAAGAGCTTCTAATGTTTTTACTTAAGAGTTCAAAATTTCTGGTCTAGATTACCAAACCTTGTGCTTACTTTATAAAAATGAGAAAAATAAGGTCTGGGTTGAGTCAAAATGTAGGTCGCTTCTAAATAAAGACCGATAGCTACTGCTCTCAAGAGGGTGCATTTGTCCTTTGTGATGGTGACAGAAGTTTGTTGGAAATGCAGAATCTCAGGCTCTACCTCTGACCTCCTGAAGCAAAACTTGCATTTTTTTTTTTCTTTTTTTTTGAGACGGAGTTTCGCTCTTGTTACCCAGGCTGGAGTGCAATGGCGCGATCTCGGCTCACCGCAACCTCCGCCTCCTGGGTTCAGGCAATTCTCCTGCCTCAGCCTCCTGAGTAGCTGGGATTACAGGCACGCGCCACCATGCCCAGCTAATTTTTTTGGGTATTTTTAGTAGAGACGGGGTTTCACCATGTTGACCAGGATGGTCTCGATCTCTCGACCTTGTGATCCACCCGCCTCGGCCTCCCAAAGTGCTGGGATTACAGGCTTGAGCCACCGCGCCCGGCCAGAACTTGCATTTTAACATGATTCCTAGGTGCTACATCATTTTTAAGTCTGAAAGGCACTAGTATTTTAAGACATGGGATAGTACTGAAAATAGCAGTGGAGTAACATGATGAGATTTGCATTCTGAATCATTCTGACAGTTGAGTGAAAGAAGGGCTTTGAGGAGGATAAGAATGGAGGCAGGAGATGAGACTACAAAAATCACAATCACCAAGCTTATCTGCTGAATGGGGTGATTTTCTCTAGCAATGCTTAGCTTCGTGAAAGCCTGTGGCAAGAAAAGATGGCGGACAGTTGGATTCATCTAGGGCTGGGGTTTTCCTAGGTTAAGGTTAAGTGAGCTACAGAAGTTCAGAGAGATGAGGGCTATGGGACGAGAAAGTAAAGGACTCAATGAACTCAGAAGGTCTAAATGAAATAACTATTGTTTCCGAGGGGCCTTTGAACAAGTAAGCTGCTGAAAGGAAAAATGCTGTCATCAGAAAACAGGTTTAAATGTGTGCATTTGGAGGCTGTGTACTTTCTGAAGATAAGGCTCCCATGAGATGTTCATGGGAGTGTGTGGCTGGAGTTGGGGGAAAAGAAAAGTTCAGGGGTGATGAGGAAGCACACAAACTGAGGAGCCACTGTGTGGATGCTCAGTTGCTGAGAATGGTGAACGGTTAGGTAGAGAGGAAGACAGCGGATCAGCTGCTGAAATAACACTGAGGGAGAGGTTTGCAGATGACAGCAACAAGGAGGGGAAGAAGAGGAGGGTGACAAAGTTAGATGGTATAAACTCAAAGAAACAGGGCTTTTTTTTTTTTGAGGCAGAGTTTCACTCGTTACCCAGGCTGGAGTGCAATGGCGCGATCTCGGCTCACCGCAACCTCTGCCTCCCGGGTTTAGGCAATTCTCCTGCCTCAGCCTCTTGAGTAGCTGGGATCACAGGCAGGCGCCACCATGCCCAACTAATTTTTTGTATTTTTAGTAGAGACGGGGTTTCACCTCGTTGACCAGGATGGTCTCCATCTCTTGACCTCGTGATCCACCTGCCTCGGCCTCCCAAAGTGCCGGGATTACAGGCTTGAGCCACGTGCCCGGCCAGCTTTTTTTTTTTTTTGAGACAGAATCTTGCTCTTTTACCCAGGCTGGTCTCAAACTCCTGGCCTCAAGTGATCCGCCCACTGCAGCCTCCCCAACTGGTGATACAGGTGTGAGCTGCCACTGCGCCCAGTCCAGAAGGCTTTTTAAGATGAGGGGAAGTAATGGTTTGAAAGCAAGCATGGGTAGCAAAGAGGACCTCAAATTCCTTTAGGGTCAAATTTTAGTCAAGAGCAAATCAGGGTTGGATAAAGAAATGAGCAAAAAACCATGTAGGAATGGAACCCTGGAAAACATTGACATTTAAGGAGCAAGTAGAAGGAGGAGGGAAGATTGGTCTGAAAGGTTTATCAAAGTCAAGAGAAAATGTCTCAATGAGAATGAGACCACCAGGGAGGTCAAGTGCAGTTAGTGCTGAAGAATGCCCACTGAATCTGGCACTTTGGTTACTGGTGGCTTCAATGAAGACATTTCAGTAGAGCTGTTAGGGTAGAAGCCAGATTACGCTGGTGTAAGGACAGTCAGTTGTGTGATGTGCTAAGAGTTGGAATATAATTAGTAATACAAACTACAAATATTTCCTCTTCATTTATAAGGCAGAATAATTCTTCACTGTAGATATATCAGAGATTCTGCAAAGAAACCTAAGAACTCTCTAATTTTTCTTGATTAGTTTTATTTTTGTTTTATTCATTACTCATTCCTTCAGCAAATACTAAAGTATCTACCATGAGGAAACTGAGGCACAGAAAGGTAAAGTACCTGGCTCAAAGTTGCACAGCTTTAAATTGTGGAACCAGAATTTGAACCCAGGCACTAAATTTCAACCATTAAATTAAGAAGTTGTCAACTTTTGGATGGCCTCTGTAGCCAAGAGACTGCATGAGATTACCAATGGAGTGTGGAGAAGAAAGGAGTACTGAGGACTGAGACTTGGGGGCACCTAATATGAGGGGTTTGAGGATGGGGAGGGACCATCACAAGAAATTGAAAAGGAGGGACCAGTGAAGTGGAGAATGTGGTGTCCTGGAAATTACGTTCAAGTAGAAAGGAGTCACCAGCTGTGCCAAAAGCTGAGAGGTGAGTGGACTCAGCAAAATGAAGGTCACTGGCACCCTTGACAAGAGCTGTTTGAGGGAGGGGGTTCAAGACAGACTGGGCACGGTGGCTCATACCTGTAATCACAGCATTTTGGGAGGCCAAGGCGGGTGGATCACTTGAGGTTAGAGGTTTAAGACCAGCCTGGGCAACATGACAAGACTCTGTCTCTACAAAAATACAAAAAATAGTCGGGTGTGGTAGCACGTGTCTATAGTCCCAGCCACTCAGGATGCTGAGGTGGGAGGACTGCATGAGCCCAGGAGGCGCAGGTTGTAGTGAACTGAGATCATGTCACTGCACTCCAGCCTTGGTGAAAGGGAAAGACTCTGCCTTAGGAAAAAAATAAAAACAAAAACAAAAAAAGAAAAAAAGGCCAGGCGTGGTGGCTCACACCTGTAGTCCCAGCACTTTGGGAGGCCGAGGAGGGCAGATCACTTGAGGTCGGGAGTTTGAAGCCAGCCTGGCCAGCATTGTGAAATCCCATCTCTACTAAAAATAGAAAAATTAGCCGGGTGGTGTGGTGTGAGCCTGTAATCCCAGCTACTTCGGAGTTTGAGGTGGGAGAATCACTTGAACCTGGGAGGCGAAGGTTGCAGTAAGCTGAGATCATGCCACTGTACTCCAGCCTGGGCAACAAAACCAACCCCCACAAAAACATAAAACAACAACAAAAACCAGAGTGAGACTGGAAAGAGAAATGCAGTCGTGGCATGTTTGTATGCTGATAAGAACATCTGAGATGGAAGTCCTTCAAATGAAATGGAATGCAGCACACAAATGGAAGGCTTGGTGTCCCTAAGAGTGTGTACAGTTCACTCAAAGCAAGAAGCAGGAGAACATCAGGCACAGGTGCAGGGAGGAGAATATGTGAGGCAGTGGGAGACTAGTCTCTTCCGACTGCTTTTATTTCCTATTAGTGAATCAGGAAGTGAGACCAACTGATGGTGAGAAGGGAAAAGAAAGTATTAGAGGCATAAGAAGAAAGAAAAAGGCAGAAAATAGTCATCCAGGAACGCAGGAGAGTGAATAAACTAGGGAAACATGAAGTATGGTTGTCAGGCAACATTAAGGGCCTTCTTTTTCTTTTTGGTGGGGAGTGAACAGAGTCTCACTCTGTTGGTCAGGCTGGAGTGCAGTGGTGCAATCTCATCTCGGCTCACTGCAACCTCTGCCTCCTGGGTTCAAGTGATTCTCCTGCTTCAGTCTCTCAAGTAGCTGGGATTACAGATGCCTGCCACCATGCCCAACTAATTTTTTTTTGTATTTTTAGTAGAGACGGGGTTTCACCATGTTGGCCAGGCTGGTCTTGAACTCCTGACCTCAAGTGTTCTGCCCTCCTTAGTCTCCCAAAGTGCTGGGATTATAGGCATGAGCCACTGTGCCTGGCCCAAAGGTCTTCTTAAAGGTCATTTTAAAAAAACCAACCACTACCTAAAGATGTGTTTGGATGATTAAAAGATAATGAGTAACTCAGAAATATCTATGTACTATTCAATATACTGATAGATACCTGTCATTACATATTTGTCAAAACCCACAGAAAATATAACACAAAGAGTGAACCCTAAAACAAACTATGAACCTTAATTAAGAATAATATATTAATATCGGCTCATCAATTATAACAAATATACCACAGTAATGCAAAATGTTAATAATAGAAGAAATTAGGGGTGGGGAGGAGATGAAGGGTATATGGGGCTCTTTGTACTTTGGGCTCATTTTTCTCTAAAATCATAACACTAAAAAAAAAAAATTAGTAAAAAAAACACAGAAGGACGGAAGTGCAATGTGCGTGTTTTGGGTGTTGGCCTTGGGGATTTAGATACTAGGGGATGAGGGTGTAACCTGAGTGTTCTGAGCTTCTTAGGGTGATATAATCAGATATGGGACAAAGGGTGAAATGAGATTAGGTGACAGCCTCAAGACAGAGAGGTGTTGAGGTTGTAGGAGGGTAGAAGCTCTCTGGGGCCCTTTCTTCACTCCTGCTAATGGTGATAAGAATGCCAGGGCAGTCTTATATTCTTGACAACAGGCTTTATGCTCTCCTACAATCTGAAATATTTATTGCTATTTTTTAGTCTATTAAACTGGTGACTACAGAACTATAATCCTGCATTATACTCTTTCTTTTTTCAGATAGTAACTAGTACGTCAATCTGTTCTTAGTTTTATATTTGATGCTCAGATATCTTAATGGTAAAGTGGCCGTTTCTACCAAGAAAATTTTTGAAGTCCTTAATCCTTGTAGCAGGTCCACGTTTATATGAAGACAAATGTTTCCAGGAGCCATTTTCACATTTCTTTGTAAACTGGTCAAAGAGAAGTCTTAGGTCCTTGTTCCAGCTGGGGTTGGGGACAGAACAGTCCTTAAGAAAGCCTTCCTCTGAAGAAAATGACCTCTAAAAGACAGAAGAAAAAGAAGAGTAAGTAATGGAAGGTGCATTCTATTTCATAACATATTCTCTCAATTTCTAAGACTATCTTGCTGCTTTTCTTCTCCCCAGAAGCCTGTCACTTCAAAATGGAAGGGAATTTCAGGGATCACCTGGTCCAAACTCCTTGGGAAAATGAGAGATTGAGAGAGGGAAAATTATTTGCCCAGCATCACCCAGTGAGCTATTGGCAGAGCCAGCGTTATGCTCAGGTCTGCTGACTCCATTCTTTTTTCCAAACTTTAAACAAGCACAGGTGACCCCAGCACACTAGAGATGGAGGTAAAGAACAGACACTATCTTCCATGTAAAAGGTGCTTCCAGGCTATGTACAGGAAGTTAGAGGATAAGGGAGAAGTATTCATCTAGAATTAGGAGTTCAGGAAGGGGTCCTTTGACTTGAATATTGATTAGACAAGCAGAAATTAGCCAGCTGGAAAGAGTATTACAGGCAAAAAACAAACAAACAAAAACACTATGTGGAATATAGTTTGGATGTGTGTCTCCACTCAAATCTCATACTGAAATGTAATCTTCAATGTTGGTGGTGAGGCCTGGTGGGAGGTGACTGGATTATGGGGTTGAATTTCTCATTAATGGTTTAGCACCATCTCCCCAGGTATCCATCAGGAGTGGGGCCAAAGGAGTAGGGAGTAAAACTTCACAGGGAGAGGGAATTCTCTAGCTGAACTTTGTAACAATTTGAACCAGGGAGGCTGTTACAAAGTTCAGCTAGGCCTGAACTTGGGGAGGGTGTGAATCTGGCTTGCAGACTTCACAGTGGGGGAACTAAAGCCCTTTTCTTTTGCTGCTGGGAGGTGGAAAGCCTCCAACAAGTTTTCAAGCCCATCTTGCCCTCCACTTGGAAACACACTTGGGGCTGTTGAGGGGGCGGGGCACGGTGGGATTGAGACCGGCCCTTTAGTTTGCACAGGAGCTGGGTGAGGCCTGTGACTAACGGCTTTTTGCAACTTCCCTGACAACTTGCATGACTCAGCAGAGGGAGCCACAATTCTCCTAGGTACACAACTCCAGTGACTCAGGAATCTTGCCTCCATCCCCCACAGCAGCTGCATGTGATGGTCCTTCCCTATCCATCCTGGTAGCAGGATACGAGGGGCATATAATCTTGGGAGTTCTAGGGCCCCATCCACAACTGTTCCCTCTCCATACTATTATAGCTGATGCTTTCTGGAAAGCGCCAACTCTTGGCAGGAGGCCAACCAGCACAAAAGTAGACCATTAAACCATCAAAGCTAAGAACCCTCACGTAGTCCACTATACACTCTGCCACCTCCACCAGAACAGGCACTGGTATCCATGCTGAGAGACCCATAGATGGTTCACATCACGGGACTCTGCAGACAACTCCCAATACCAGCCCAGAGCTGGGTAGACTCGCTGGGTGGCTAGACCCAGAAGAGAGACAACAATCACTGCAGTTCGGCTCACATGAAGCCACATCCACAGGAAAAGGGGAGAGTACTGTGTCAAGGGAACACCCTGTGGGACACAACAATCTTAACAGCCTTCAGCCCTGGACCTTCCCTTTGACAGAGCCTACCTACCCAAATGAGAAAGAACCAGAAAACCAACCTTGGTAATATGACAAAATAAAGCTCATCATCAACACCCCCCAAAAATCACACTAGGTCACCAGCAATGGATACAAACCAAGAAGAAATCTCTGACTTACTTGAAAAAGAATTCAGGAGGTTAGTTATTAATCTAATCAGGGAGGTACCAGAAAAGGGCAAAGCCCAATGCAAGGAAATACAAAAAATGATACAAGAAGTGAAGGTGGAAATTGTAAGGCTGGCTCCCTGGAGGAGAGCTCGGACACGCCCACTTCTGCACTCGGCACCTAGCCCACCTTGGAAAACTCCTCTGCACTCAGCATTAAGCTCTGCACTCGGCACCTAGCCCACCTTGGAAAACCCCTCTGCACTCAACACTAAGCTCTGCACTTGGCATCTAGCACGCAGTTGGAAAATCCCGCCTACCTACCTATAGCAGCCTGCCCCAACCATGCCCTGTTTCCCCGCAACCAATCAAACGCCTTCACTCCCTATAAAACCCCATGCCCAGAACAGTCAGGAGTGACTCCTTGGCCTCTTTCCCCGGGACAACAGAACCTTGCCCAGGAGCTGAATAAATTGACATTTAATCTTTTTGTGCTGGCCTCAGTTTTCTCATTTTAAACTCAGTGATAACCCTTACAAGTGGTGCTGAAACCCAGGAGGAGTTCTAGGACCCCTCCTAGGGGAAAATGACTCCTCCAACCGAAGCTGGACCAGGGAACCGCTCCGCCACAAGGTAAGACTTCTATTGCCCACAACCTTTCCCGCTGCTTGCCCCGTGGAATCCCTGCTCCTAATTGTGGCCGTGTCAGGGACTCCTTCCCGTCTCGCCGTGGGCCCGGGGCCCCAGCCTTGTCTCGAGGACCTGAGCACAGAGGAGACATCCCTACACTCTTGTCTTCTCCCTGTGAGGGGTTTCCTAGGGTCAGGATTCTGAGGGAGACGTCCCCACCTTCCTGAACCCTTGCGTATCCTCCAGTGTTTGGTGGCGCGGCCCAGGACGCTGAGCCACTCTTCCGACCATCCCCGCAGCAGCTGCCAAGGTTTGGGAAATCAGAAGTCCCCGTTTGCAAACCCGGGCCCTGCACCACAGCAGGACCAAACTCCCGGCTTTCGCCACTAAAATGTTGATCTCAAACTAGCCCTTTGGCATACAAGCTCCAATCTAGGAAGTAACTGTACTTTTGGTTTCTCTTCCTAATCCCAAGCAAGTGAGTGAGTGAGTGAGTGAGTGAGTTTATGTTTAGTGCCACAGCCTGATGGCTAACGGGACTTGTGTGGGCCTCAACCCGCGGTTCCACGGGGATGTCATAAGGCATAACAGTGATTCACCTCGGGAAACTGAAGGTGACCAGGCCCAGGGGTTATATGGGTACACCTTAGCCAAGATGCCCTGAAACATCCCTTCAGTGATGTGGCCAGGAAGGCATCAGACTGGTCTCCCTCTCTGGGGGCACCCACCCTTTGTCCATTAAGCCTATATGTGGTTCTGTCTTTACCGTAAATTTGCTAGCTTCGTTAGGCTCCTACTAGTTGGTATACAGTGGTCCAGGCCTGCTTCCCTTAAAATAGCAGATATTCTGCAGTGGGTATAACACCTTCCGGTGTCCCTACCTCGCCCTTAGTTAACTGCAGAAATACGAGTAATCAGAAATCTCACCCAGACCCCAAGTCGCCACTGGGATGCCTAGCCAAAAACCTATCCAAACTGGATCTTTCTATAAAAAAGAAAAGGTTACTCTTCCTCTCCACTGTGGCCTGGCAACAGTACCCTCTGGGCAACCAGTCTAAATGGCCTCCAGAGGGCACACTCGACTTTAATGTCCTGACAGACCTAGGTAACTTTTGCCAAAGGAAAGGCAAGTGGGCAGAGGTTCCCTACATTCAGGCTTTCTGGCGTCTCTGCTCCCACCCCAATCTCTGCTCCTCCTGTAATACTGCCCAGGTACTCCTAGCAAAGAACTCCCCCACACTCCCTCCGGCCCCTTCGCCAACCCCTCCTCCTCCTTCTTTGACCCCAATCTGACTGAAGAGCTCTATCTACCCCCTGCCCGACCTACTAATCCCCGGCCCCCAAACCCCTCCTGCTCCTCCTCTTCCGAGTTCCAACCTGACCTCTCCTGTTAGTGCCCACACTCACTCGCACTGCGCTTCCAAAGACAAAACCTCTCTCCTTTGCCCTCTCTGCGAGGTGGCTGGAGTGGAAGGCATTGTCTGAATGCACGTTCCCTTCTCCCTCTCTGATCTATTGGCCATTGAAAAGTGCCTAGGGTCATTCTCCACCAATCCTACTGCTTACACCAAAGAATTTCACTACCTCACCCAGGCGTACGACTTTACCTGGCATGACACCTTTGTAATCCTGTCTTCCACCCTAACACCAGATAAGCATGACCGCATTCTTACAGTGGCCTGAACGCACGCTGATCAGGTACATCTCACAAACAATCCAATGCTGGTAGGCGCAGTGGCGGTACCTGAGGCCGACCCTAATTGGGACTATCAAACTGGTCAAGATGGCTGCTGCCGCCGAGACCAAATGCTGCAGTGCCTCCTAGCAGGCATGCAAAGCGCAGCTCAGAAGGTAATTATGACAAGTTAAGAGAAATAACTCATGGTCCTGATGAAAACCCAGCCACCTTCCTTAACCGATTAACTAATGCTATGATCCTCCATACCTGGCTGGATCTGGCCTCCCTAGTGGGGGCTGCAGTCCTAGTCACTCACTTCATCTCCCAGTCAGTGACTGATATAAGGAGGAAACTTTAAAAAGCTGAGGAGGGCCCCCAAACTTCCATATGAGACCTGGTAAACCTGGCATTTAAAGTTTTTAATGGCCAAGAGGAAAAAGCTGAGGCCACCCGCCAGGCCTGGTTGCAGCAGAAGGTAAGCCTCCAAACCCAAGCTCTTGTAGCAGCCCTGAGGCCGGCAGTCCACCGAGCACCTGGTGGAGGGGGTCCATCAAAACCCTTCCAAAATTCTTTTAGAGCTTCACCCAGGCCCTGTTTTAAACGTGGCCAGGAGGGACACTGGGCGTGGCAGTGCCCTGTCCTCATCCTCCTCCTGGACCTTGCCCATGTTGCCAACAGGCTGGACACTGGAAGGTTGACTGCTCATCCCAGACTACAGGCTCACCCCCTGCACCTCTATGTGAGGGGCAAGCTGGTCCACAGGAAGCAGTCCCTTCGCTTGAACTTCTCGGCCTTGTGAATGACTGATGGAGCCCGGACTCGAGGAACTCCATCACCCTAGCCGAGCCCAGGGTAATGCTGCAGGTAGTGGGTAAGTCCATTTCCTCCTTATTGGATACGGGGCTACCTATTCTGTATTGCCTTCCTACTCAGGACCTAGCATACCTTCCCAGGTTTCAGTCATGGGAATTAATGG